TTTGCCAGCCTGTGATCTGATTTGTTCCCATACACCATCAACACTATTTTATTTAATCTTCCCAACATCCTTGCATGGCATATATTATTCTTCCCATTTGCAGAGGGGGAAACTGAGGTCTGTGCAAATCGCGTGTGGAAATATTCAGGTAGTAAGTGGTGGTGCAGTCTGAATTCAATCCGAAACACCTCACCTCAGGGGCCATGGTCCTTACCACCTGGCTTTGTGGCCTGCCCTAACTCTGGTGTCTTTTCTGTTTTCCAGGTCAGCCCACCCTGTTTACTTACTTTCTTTTCATTAGTCAGTCAAAACTTCTGTAGAGCAAAATTTCTGAAATAAAAATTACAGGAGCCCATTGTTTTGGACAAAGCTCCTACGTGAGATCCCAGTAGGCCAGATTCAAATCAAAATGGAGTTATTCAGGCCAAAGTTCCACCAAAATGAAGCTATGTGCCTGGCATTTGTAGAAATCAGAGAAAGCAGCGAAGTTTCCCAGTCAGTTGCAATTGGCACGATAATGAAGCTCCCTCCACCTTTGCCCTTATACAAAAAACAGTACCCAGAAGTAACTTCGTGTCAGTGAATGCGTTGTTTTCCTCTCCTTCTGTCCCCTTGTCCTGGCTTTGCATGGAAAGTAACTTCAGAATGACCAATCCACTTTTATTTTTTGTTTCTGCTTTCATCAAGCTGTTTTCTTTCCATTAAACCAACTTTTACTGGGCCAGTCAGAACACTTATTCTACCTTAGAAAATGTAGTGTTGCCTGATCCTAGAACTTTTGAAGCAGCCAATTAAGATCTTAAAACTAAGCAGTTTGTCCCTTTGACAAGCCATCCCAAAGGAAATGCTGCCGTTGGTGTGTTCTGTAAAAGAGCTTTGAATCTTAAAGTTGTTTTAAAATACAACTGAGTCTGTACCTTGTGTAGATCCCATCTGTCAGGCCCCAGAGAATGAGCTCTGCTACTGCTTCTAGTTAAAGTGGACTGCTTAGAGTGGAGACTTCCATCCTCCCCAATGTGAACTCCGTCCGGCTCCGTGGAGATAGTGGAGTGCCTTGAACTTGACCTTTGGAAGAAGACTTATCTTGATAACTCTAATGTGAAAAAAAATGGGATGAGTAACGTGACCCTGCAGCAATACTGGAGTTTATCAAACCCCTTAAAGACCTCAAGGTTGGGATACCTTTTCCCTCTTCAGTCAGGGCCAAAGGGTAATTACAGGAAGGTGATAGCTGGGGTCTGGAAGAGATTAAGGTCAGTGATGCTGAGACATCGCTGAGCTGCTCTGTTGGGAATGGGGAGGCCTGGCTGGAACTAGGGGTCCCTGGGCCCTTCCTCACTGTCAGCCAATTAGGATAGACTGTCCATCGTATCGTTATATAACAGGCACTGAAGCAACATTTTATTTAAAGAGTATTTTAACTGTACATTAAAAAGCAACAGAGGGCTGGGGGTATTGGTCAGTGATAGAGCACTTAAGAAGAAAAAAGCAACTGGACTAATCCTACTTCATCCTTCACATCCTTTGTAATCGAGGCCACAGAGGTTCAGAAAGGCCAAGTGACGTCCCCAAGGTCACACGTTGTTTTGACTAAAAGCTGTTTCTTGTATTCCTCCTTTGCAAGCTCAGAAGCTGGGCTGGCTGCCAAGTCTGCTGAGCCTTTGCTCCTCCGCTGTCTGGATCAGCCCTTATTATATCCACTGGCGCTGACCTGGCCGTATTTCCTCTGCATTGAGGACTCCTTGGTGTGCCTTTAGAAAACAAAATGCTGTTTAGGTGCTCCATTCAGAGCTGAACCAAAAAAGTCACACACCTTCTCTGTGTGCCTTCTCTGACTTCAGGCTGTCACCCTGAATGGCTTGGTTCTTACGTGATGGTCTGTACATCAAGGGCAGCTGAGCAGAGAATGCCAAACATTCTGGAATCTGACAAGTAAGGCGCCTGTCCTCCAAGAGGATAGTTAGGCTATGGAAAACCCCAATTTAGGAGAGTGTACCTTTAAAGAATCTATGACTAAAAAGGAAAGAAGGGATTGAGGGACCAAGATCCCCAGAGACCTCTGGAAACCTTTGTTTTTAACTTTCAGGAAAATAAACCAATAAATAAAATCTAGTAGTAAGAATATCAATAATATTTTGCAACCAATGATAATGGATATGTGGGTAGTTTCCATTTTATCATTCCATCTTTACAGACACTTCTTCATTTGGCTATGTGACAGATGATATGCATATTCAGAAGCATTTGCAGTTCTAATAGCAGAAAAAGTCAGAACAAATTTATTAAAGTGAATGGGGAAAAGAAAGAATTACAGCACTAAAGCTGTACATGAAAAGTGAGGTCCTGAAGCATTTTTATTTCCAACAGTGACTCTCCACAGCCTAGATGTTTGAGGCTTTCTTGCTCTGAGATGAGGGTTGTTTGTTTTTTTTGCATAGCTGGGGCTCAAACCCACAGTCTGCATGGATGGCAGTCAAGCACCAGACCCCTGAGTCACATCCCCAGCCCTTTCTTGCTCTCTTACTTTAAAGATTAGTTGCTAAATCCTTGCACATGTGTCCTGAAAACTCTGCACCTGCTCTGTGGCCCGCTGGGAATACGGAAGGAGAGTTCTGGGACATGAGTGTCTTTCTTTCTCTTATTACCATTCTCTCTGCCATCCCACTTTACCAGCCATTTCTACTTCTAATCCATGATCTTTCTTTCTCTAATTGTTCCTAGGAAGACAAATCCATATCTGGAAAAGAGGGCTGGGGATTAAGCTCAGTGGCACAGTGCCTGCCCGGCAAGCGCAAGGTCATGAGTTTGATTCCTGGTACCGGAAAAGAAATCAACAAAAAAAGGGTGAATCATATCTGGAAAGGAAATTCTTGTTTTTTCCCCAGTCTATACTGAAGTCCTACAAGCTGACGTTCCTACAAGGGAAACGCAGATTCTTTCTTTGAAAAGACAAATACTTACTGTTTTACTTGGGTAAGGATAACCCCCCAGGAAATCTGTTGAGAACGCTATGTACATACTGATATTTGAAGTTTCACACTCGATTCTTCTGTCCCTAGGAAGATTCAGAGAATATTTAACCCTCTGAAGAGAACTCCTGGGAGATGCTAAAAAAAAAATCTAAAGATATGAGTTAGTAATACATAATGCTATGGCAGTTTGCTGTTATCCCTGATGCTCTTCTTAGTTACTTACCAGGATCAAGATGCTGAACTTGAGCTCAGGTAAATCTGTAGAGTAGGGAAATGATTGTCACTGAATATTTTTAGCATCATAGAACCCGGGTATAATAAATGACACCAGGGAGAGATTTGTCCCTTGTTAGAGTTTGGCAGAATTTCTCCTTGTAAATCTTTAAAGCCAGACTGATTGCCAGATGTGCCCAGTAGCTGGTGGGTGAAAACATCTAACCCTTATGCTCAAGAGGGGCGCCTGGCTTCTCTGAAAATTTTTAGTGCCCAGCATGGGTGCTGGACTGCACAGGTATAGGATGAATATTGGTAGAATAAATGCATGTGACTTTTCTCTGAATTCTCCAGGCGTTAAAGACCTCAGGCTTTATTAAACCAAACAAAAATGTAGACTTACGAGAGCCTTTACAAAGTCTTCCTGCAATCATGCTGCCTCTTCCCCTCCCCACTTTCGGTGTTGGCTTTTACTTTGATTTTATGTTCATAAAGTTTATGACTACCTCTGAGGTTAGCGTTAAAAGCCTACTTCTTAGAGTCACCCCATGGGATGACAATGTTTTTGGCTTTAATGTACTACTGATCTACCAGGAACATAGAAGCGTTCGCCATAGTTTTAAGTAGACTGGTTGCGTGCTGCTGTTTTCATTCCTACAAGTACTTTCCCCAGCTCATCCACAGAATAAGAATGAGGGAAGGGCACTAGGCATGAGCTTCTGTGATGACAGCCGCCACCTTGCTTGCTGTGGTTCTCACAGCATCACTGGGGACAGTCCACTTGATTGGTACCATTTAGATTCCTCTTAATTTTGCTCAAACTTTTTTCACACTCACAGTCCTCCTCCCTTCGTCAGCCTCTGGAATAGTTGGAATTATAGGCATGTGTCACCATACCCCCATACGCCCCACTTAAAAAGGGAATAGAGCGAGGGGTAGAGCTCAGTGGTAGCATGAGGCCCTAGGTTTGATTAAGGTTTTAGGTGTGATCTCCAGTACTGTAAAAAATGAGATGTGGACTAAAGTTCAGAGGCAAGTGCTATGCTGCTATAACACATTACCAACAATTCAGTGGCTTAAAACCATACCAATAATTCTGTTAAAGCTCTGGAAGTCTAAAGCAGTTCTTACTTGGCTAAAATCAAGATGTCATCAGAGCTTCCATCTTCTTCTGGAGACTCAAGGGGAGAATCTGTCTCTTTGTTCTTCCCCCCTTGCTCACCTCTAGAGGCCACTCGCACTCGTTGACTTGTGGCCCCTTCCTTTACCTTCACTGCCAGCAGTGTTACTGTTTTCAAATCACTGTTTGACTTTGACATTTCTGCCTCCTCCTTCCACCCCATTAAGGATCCTTGTAGTTATGTTGAGCCCACCTGGGTAATCCACAATAATCTCTTATCTCAAATTCATCAGTGTAATTATATTTTCAAAGTCCTTTTTGCCACATAAGGTGATATATTCATGGGTTCTAAGGATTAGGGCCAAACGCAGTCAGAAATTCAAACAGCATCCTAACATACTCAGCTGCCCCCAAGTTTCTGCTCTGTTGTGTACACAAGGCTTGGCTTCTTGTGTCTTCTCATGGTACTTCTCTCTCTGATGTTATTCAATTTTCAAAACAATTAGTGTGAACAAACTGGGGTTGATCAAAGTTCAACCTCAGTGTAGTTTAATGGCAAAGAAACCTCAGTAAGGCAATGAGAAAGGAGGCAACTCCTCAGCTATAGAGGCCCACAAGTTTCAGGCAGGGGGTGCTCAAACTTGCTGCCCAGGCACATGTGGGATGAACTTACAGAGTGTCCTTTTGTGTTTCAGGCTTATGAGAAGAAGTACATTGTGAAGAATTATTTCTACTATTACCTGTTCAGATTTTCAGCTGCTCTGGGTCAAGAAGTGTTCTACATCACATTTCTTCCGTTCACTCACTGGAATATTGATCCTTATTTATCCAGAAGACTGGTCTTAATATGGGTGGTAAGTATTATTAGGATTTCCTAACAACTGCTATACCTGAGTACTTTGCATCATATTCTCTGTTTGTTTGTGTGTGTATTTATTTGTTTGTTTGTTTTAAAGTCACATAGAATACAGAGCTAGTCATGGTGGCACACATCTGTAATCCCAGCACTCAGGAGGCAAAGGCAAGATGATCACCTCTAGTTTGAAGCCAGCTTGGGTTACATAGTGAGACCCTGTTTTCCACAGTGCCCTATCACTTCCCATTCAGGCCAGTGAGTTTTGAATGTTTGTTTATCTAGGGAACCATTGCCCACTGAGTCATTGCCCTCTAAGTCTTCTGCTAATCCCTTCTATCACTGTAAACACCCAGTCAACAGTGGCTGACTTGGAGCGTCTTTGTCTTTGCCCCTCCTGAGGCTTTGACCTCCCAGCCCCTCTTCATGCATTATTAAAAAAAAAAAAAAGACTGTGTGTATCTGTGAGCAAAATGGCATATGGCAAGTACAATAGAAAAATACTATCTGTTTAAACAAACATATTATTCCAGTAAAAGACTTATTGTCTTTACTCCTCCTAGCTTCAAACACACATCTCCATTCATTCTTGGCACTTTCTGAAGCAGTTCTGGAAGTCCTTTCAGTGTACTTTGGTTGTACTGTGGTGGCTGCTTTGATGGCCTTAATCAGTCCAAAATGTTTACCTTTCTTGGTCATTCTGACACTGGGAAAGAGCCAGCAGTTGCATGGTGCCAGATCCGGTGAATAAGGTAATAAATAAGGTAAATGAAGGCTCACCATAATGTTTGAAGGTCCTGCCTTGCCGCTAGATAGTATTCAGCAGTGGCATCCATAGCGTTTTTCAGTCAGGCCTTCTGAAGACCCTCACAGAAGGGGACTTGATACGATAGTATGTTCCAAGCAAGGGGGAACATTTTGAGGGGAATTAATGGCAATATGTCTTTTACTATAATAAACATTTAACATTCACCTTTTTTTTGATCACCCCTTGTATGTGGGCTTCAGTGCTGGACGGGCCTGGGGTCAAGTGCAGCTCAGCTGGTCTGTGTCCCCCGGCCTTGAGCCTGAGCTCCCTGTCTGCACAAAGGGGTTAATAATTTGTGTCCCCAGAATCTCCCGGAAGTACAGGGTGTGGTGGGGACGGTGGGAGGACACACACGACCTATGTGAGCAGGGCGACAAAGTGACTGTCGGTGAAGGGAAGACCTCAGAGACCAGCCAGTTCTATGGTCACAGGAGTTTAGCAAGAAGAGAAAAGTTTGAGGCAGGACGGCTTCCCTCTCTAGATTCTGCCCTAAAAACAAGTGCAGAGGGGCTGGGCTGGAGGTAAAGGAAATGCTATGTGAACACAGGCAAGGGACTTCCCACTCTTGGCGTTTTTCTCCTTTATAGAACAAGTGGAGCGGACTCAATTGCCATACAGTCCCGTTTCCGGGGCAGGGAGGGAGAAGCCCATAATGGCCTCCTGGGTGGGGTCGGGGGCGCCGAGGGGATCCACTCACCAGCGGCCACCTGGGGGCACTGCGGGGCAGCGGCCTCTGCATCCTCCTGTGGGCCAAGAGGAAAAGGGGCTCAGAGTTGTCCGATCTTTTGCTTTTTCATATGAAGTCCTCTAGTTTTGCGGGGTCGGCTTCCGGTTTTTCAGTGTCAGCTTCTCTGTCCACTGAACAAGGAATCCCTGCAGTGCAGATGCACGAGCCCAGGTTTCAAACCTCTCATCTCAGCCATGCCCGATTCCCCCACCTTCCTTCTGCCTCTTGCCCTTTCTGCTGTACAGCTGCAAGCCACTGTTTGCTCTTCCTATCCCAGCTTCCTGCCTGGCCTTCCCCTGAAGTCTAGCTCTTGTCTAATAGTCTGACCGGAGAACCTGCAAAAGCACATGCTTCTCACAGATCATAAAGAGAATGTTGGTCGGACTGCCCCTCTGGCCTTTGGAAGCCCCATGGGTTGGCTAGGGCAGCACTGTGTAAGGGAAGAAGAGGAATGAGAGGAGGAGGGGGAAGGGGAAGAGGAGGAGCAGGAGCAGGAGCAGGGGGAGGCTCCCTCCTCTGCTGAAGATCTGAAAACCCAGGAAAGATCCATGTGCTTCAGTTGCACTTATTTTCCTGTATATATATACACATTACAGTATATGTATAATATGTATATATGATGTGTGTGTGTGTTTCCAGGAGAAGCCCATGCTGGTGATCGAGTGAGCCAGATGATGTTAAGATGTGAAGCACCTTTATTAACTTAGGACCATCTTACACTGTATGTGGCAAGCTGAAGACCACTAATTTCCCTCACTGAGAGTGGAAAACTTTCCAACCAGCTAGGAAACCTTCAGACTTGATAAGAAAATATGGATGATATATTTTTTTCTTCTTCTTTTGAGGGGGGCAGGGTCTTGCTATGTAGCCCAGTCTGTCTTGGAATTCCCCTCCTCCTACCTCAGCCTCCAGAGTGCTGGGATTACAGGCGTGCATCAGCACACCCAGCATGGTGGAAGACTCACCGATTGTCATTACTGGCTGTTAGTGTGTGCCTTAGCCTCCTCATTTGAAAGGGTTCCGGTGGCCTTTGGGTGAGGAAAGGAAGAACCTAATGAGTCTGCAGATTGTCCTGAGTCACTTGATGTTGTAATTGGTTCCGTGGCCTTGGTCCACTCATGCCTGTACTGAGAGCTCTATAACAATGCATCAGGGCAGCTAGGCAAGCGGGGTCAAGGAGGGCTCCTGCCAGCTCTGGGTAGAGAGAACCAGCCCATCCCACTGGGGAGAGGTGCGGGAAAGGTGTAGGTGTGCATGTGTGTGAGCCCTGGGACACTAAGAAGAGATGTTTGTCTTGGCTCGGTGTTGAAGGTGGGCACAGGGGAAGGAAAATTCCTGGCTGTGTTGGGGCTGGGAAGAGACTGGGATGGAGCCAGAGGGGTCCTTGTACTTGGCCAGCCTGGGACTCAGTTTCTGGCAGAGGTGGAGGTGGCCTTTTTCATGTAAGGGACATCTCCAAACTAGTGACCGCCCCTTCAAGGGATGGGACTCACAAATGTTAATTGCCTAAGGCTCAGAGCTTGAAAGTTTAGGACCGTAAATGTCTTATCTCCCCCAAAATACATTGGAAGACAGCTGTTTGTTCCAGAGTGTCACAATTCTTGTCAAATTTTATATTAATTCAATAGTTGTCATCAGATGACTCCACAGGTTTTATTGCTCTTAAAAAGCATTTGTCCTATTGCACTTGACTCTTACTTCTGAAATGGCTTAACAGAATTTATGGTTGTATTAACTGCTCGCTCTCCTCACAATCATAATTGTTCCTGCTTCCTGTTGTACATCTTGTACTGCCGTCTGCGTCCATTAACTGACTTGAACTTCATTACCATGGGTAAGCATTCTTTTATAGGTGAGGATAGTAACTCTTTGAATAATAAAAAGTCACGTCATACACCGCGCACTTAATATATGTGCTTACAATGCCCCTCACTGCAATAGTGTTTTATATATTTTACTGCATTTAATTCCCCACCCATCCTGAGTAGTTATTGCCAGCCCATTTTATAGATTGTGAAGAGCTGGGGATATAGTTCAACAGGCACAAGCGCTTGCCTAGTACGCACAAGGTCCTGAGTTCGATTCCCAGTACCAAAAAAAATTTTAAAAAAATATAGATTGTGAAACTGAAGCATAGAAAAGCTAAATAATTGTCCAAGATCAAAGTGGATTCGGTCCTGGCCCCCAGGCCTCCTCTGCCAGGGAGTTCTTGTTGGTCTTAGAATACAGCTAAGAGGCAGGAAGAGCATCACTCTTTCTTTTTTCTCCTTTTAAGTCACTGAAACTGAGTCTTTATGAAATGATTCACTTTTGTGGCATTGGTTGTGTTTCAGGATACTCCATGGCTCTTAACAACACTATGTTGCATATCCTCTAGCTACCTTTATTGCCCAGGCGATGGTATTTATCCCAGAAAACTTAGCCAGGGAAATGCATCAATCAAGCCATATGTCCCTCTTCGGCCCCATATCAATGTCTTAAACCTATCTTTGGCTCAAAAGAATCTTAGCCATCTGGACAGGAAAGCTCGTGAATGCACTGCCTGATTAGAATCCCCATAAAGAAGTTGGATGTGGTTGTGCACACCTGTAGTCCCAGAACTCTGGAAGGCTGAGGCAGGAGGACTACAAATTTGAGCCTAGCCTGAGCAATTTAGTAACTTACTGAAACCCTGCCTCAAAATTTAAAAAATAAAATAAAAGACTGGGGATATAGCTCAGTGCAAGGGCCCAGAGTGCAATACACACACACACACACACACACACACACACACACACACACACAATTCCCATAAAAAGGAGTAGATGACTCGGTATCTGAATGAGTGATCATCTGATTGCTTGCCTTCCACTTTGGCGTGGTGATGGTGCTAGCCAAAAATAAAACTAAAAGCCTTAAAATTATACTGTAACAGGAAGCAAAATCTCCCTCACTGTTTCCAAAATAAAATTTTTCTTCATTTTGCAAAATATTGCTACTGCAATTGATCCTTGAGGTTTGGAAAGCTGTTTTTCTCTGTTGGTAAAATATATGTCTTTTCACAGACATTTCCTCGCATTTGTAACAAGATTTTTAAAAATGAGATAAGTGCATACAAGTGAAAATTAGGAGGAATTCAGATACCACTGAAGATTAAAGCCCAGACTAACGTTTAATATACCATGCTAGTTCAAAGCTGAACCGCAGATTAGTCTCTGGACTTTGTCCTGACCAAGCCAAAATGAAGTTTGTCATCTATTCAGAAGTAATAGGCCTATTCCTATGAGAGCAGCCCTCCTGCTCACACGTAGGGTTGATAGAACTGTTGAGGCTGGTGATGCATACTGCTACAGTATTTTCTTAGAAATACTGTTGATGTCAGCGCCCCCTATTCGGTGTGTGCGAAACCCCATTTTAACTCCTTTTCCTGAGCTTCATGTGTTCTCATTTCTATATCATCACTCATGTAACCAATGGGAGAAAAAAA